CTGATCGATTGAATCTAAAAACATAATTTTGCAAGATTATCAAATGGTTTAATCTAGACTTTTAGCTGTAAATTACAACAAAACTTACATCCCATTTTCATCTTGTGAACGATATATGCCCAAATATTCGATTTTAGACGTAAAGCTGAAAAGAAAAACAAACTTAACAATTACAAATAACGTCTTCGCGCAGTGTTAAATATCTGGGAGTGTACCTAGATTCCACCCTTGAATGGGACACGAACATACATTTCCTAATTAAAAAATTGCATACAATACTTAAGTTTAAACATCTTATGGAGTGCTATGACTTCTATCAAATGAAAGTACTCTATTGCTCACCAGTTGGGAGCCATTTGAGGTGTGGTGTCACGTGGGGAGCAGCGTGTAAGACATGCATGAAAAATATTGAGACAATACAAAACTACATTCTAAAGGTGATATACAGGGTGTCCGCAAAGTTGGGGTTTTCCTTTTCAGAAACAACTACCCTTGAAATAACAAAGGTAATGTGTAGTGAAACGAGGGCGACCAAGTAAAAAAAAAATAAAGGAAAATGTACTCACTCTCCAGTTGACGAGAAGGGCTAAGTACGTCTCTGCCCGAAATCATACCGCTCCAGCAGAAAATGAAATCAGCTGATGCGCTGCCGAGCAGACGCAGAAACCACATTGATTGTCTTACACTTAATGGCACATCTTCTAACAAGGAACGCAAAATGTTGCGTAAAAAGTCTAGGTATTGCATCCCGTCCAATCGATTTGGGAGAATAAATGGTCCAATGAGCATACCGTTCACCATGCCAGCCCAAACATTCACCGAAATTGTTTTTTGAAAATGTGCCCGACGGACAGCGTGCGGATTTTCTACTGACCAAACATGAGTGTTGCGAAAGTTATTCACCCCATTACGCGTGAACGTAGATTCGTCTGTCACCAATATGCACTTCAAAAAGTCCGGATTATTGTCATGTTGATGCAACAACCACTCACAAAACCGCACTCTTGCTGGAAAATCGTCAGGTTGAAGGGCTTGTACACGTTGGACGTGAAACGGATACAGCCCCTCTTCACGCAGCGTTTGCCACACGTTAGTTTTTGATACTTGCACTTCTCTAGCCACGTCTCTATTGCTTGTTGAGGAATTCTCGTCTACGCGATTACCTCTACACGCGTGACCGTAACCGTCGGTTGAAGGTTGCATACTGACCTGACACACTGACCCCGACCCAGATCTGTCGTCGGGTTGAGCCAGTGACCTTGTACCAGTCGGTGATGTCGCGACTACAGGACGGTATTCAGATATTTTTGATGTTGCAGAGCCCTTTATCTCGGTTCCCTTAAGACATTGGTGTATATGGTACTAAGAAAAATTGCTTATGTTTTCAAGATCTACACGTCGTGTAATGGAAAACCCCAACTTTGCGGACACCCGGTATAATAAACTAAAGAACATACCGATTGGAACAATTATATACCGAAATTGCAGTGCATGATATTCGAAAACTATACTTCATCCAGACCATCATGATGCAGCATCAACTAAAACATAAGCTACGCCAAACTGAGCACGACTATGATATCCGCCATAAAGTAAGAGCATGCTTAGCAAAGCCTAATGTCAATGCCATGCAGAGATCATTCCAATCAATACCTAGTAACGAAGCTTTATAATCATTTGCCTATTACCTTAAAATAGTATAATTCTATGAAGCTTCAAAAAGAACTAAAAAAGCGGATAAAGGAAATTCCTTGCCTCCACATACATCAGCTGATTCAAATATTATATAAAAAACATTTAAAACCTTTTTTCAAACTGTCAAGGAATTCCTTTAAAAGTTTCTAATATATAAGGTTAAACATATCCAAGCATACAGCTAAAGCAAATGAACTTTTCACCATCCTAATATACCATTCTCAGGTTCGTCAACACCCGATTATGACTATTGTACCTATGATGACAATTATACCGATATAGACTGCATACTGGATAGACCTCTCACCACGCACAGGCTTTGCCTTCTCTGGGTATTTCATATTGATTCGTATGTTACTTTTATTTCACATGAAACATTTGTAATTGCAATTGAAAACAAATAAATATTATTATTATTATTAATTGAAAGGAGGTTAGTGGTGGGGGTCAACCCTCGTATAACTTACATCCGCCGGAAACGTTATAAACTTTAATTTCTGCTATTGAGTTACGCATAATCAAGCAACACCAATGACCATGGCAAACAAACGTCTACACCTCCTTCCTCCCTCTTCCGCGAGTTCCCCCACAACACTATGACATGACAAGCAGCGATCAGAGGCTTTTAGGAAAGCCACACAATAACAATAATTACAACAATGGAATGCATTTATGTAAGAGATGGAAGCGATGACGCGACGTCGGACAGCGATGCACCAGTAAAATGTGCGCACGGAAGGTGTGACTATTTTGGAAGGATGATTAGTTCTACGGAGGTCCAATGTAGCATATTTTATACATACATACATATTTTGTACCTGAATCGATCCCCACGAAACTGCACGATGTTTTGAGGGTCATATAAGAGAGATGCACTAACAAGGAGAGGTCGCCGGTACTGGAGTACGTTTTGCCTTTCAATCCTAACCGATACTTCAACGTCATTTCGTCCAATGCGATTTAGTTCACGAGATATTACGAAGTCTGTGAATTAAGTGATGATACTGTTTTTGTTTTCAAATATAATTACAATTTTATGTCACCACCAAAATGACTTCCTTCTGAAGCCACATAGTGCTGGAGACGGTTCTTCTACTCCGCATAGCAGCTTTGGAACAAGTTCCACTGAGGTTATTGTTCAACTTCGAGAAGAGAGAAAAAAGTCAAAAGGACTCAGGTCAGGGGAATAAGGATGCTGAGGAGCCACATGAATGATTTTACTGGCGAAAAGGTCGTTTATTGACATCGCTGTGTGACAACATCCAGTTGTTCTTGGTCTGATGAACGGTGATGTGAGTGAAATTTATCTCTTCCCTGATCATCCTGCCTGCCAACCGACGATCAGAACGCACAAGATCCCGGATTCTGACGATATTTACATCGGTTCTTGAAGATGAAGGCCTTACACTGGTTCATCTTTAATCGACTGAAAGTGCCTTAAACCACCGAAAAACCTGGGCTCTTGACAAAACACTATCTCCGTAGGTCTGCTGAAGTTTAGCAACAGTTTTCGTTGCACTGTGCCTAAGTCTGAACCAAGACCTGATAGCACATCGTTGCTCGAAATTGATCTTATTGATTTTTAGAATGCGCCTCTGTCTTTCCCCAAACCCGGCGCCCACAGTGTTGTCAGATCGAACGCTACGCTGCCAGCCTCATCACTTAATTTACAGACCTCGTATACTCATTGGATGCCACTGAGTTGATTATGTTTTTATAAATACTTAATATTGTTTTTTTTTCTACATAAACTACGTGCTTTTTTATGTAAGTTGTAGAAGTAATGCACTGGTTATATTGGGATTATAAACTACTATATTGCCGTATTATTAATCACATTTCCTAAGAATAAAAGCAGTAAATCAATGCAGCAAAGCAAAAAGCCTTCAACCTATACTGTTTTTATTCTCTGTATGATACAAGTACTGCCTTTTCACCCTTTTATAACCTATTATGATGTTTATTTATTTAGTTTTTTCATGTAATAATTCTATTATTTGTAAATAAGTATTTATTGTTATAAATAACGACTTGCTGCCCAAAGATAATTTTGAAAAATATTCTTCGTTTAATTTAACCTATAAGAAAACGTCATATTTTCAGTTTACTTATATAATTATTTTTATTGACTGTGATTAAATGTAATTATATCATTATTAAATTGAATTATTAGATGTTCAAAAGATTTACTTTTGTGCTGCTATTTATGTGAATTTCAATATGAATAAATTATATGAAAATAAAATAAAATTCTTCATTACTGCTGCTTTGAAAAGATAATATAATTAGATTATGAAAACTACAGAAAAAATCAGTAAATTTGTATTTGCTGAATATAAAAGCAGTAAATCACATGTTATTGCTTTTTGATTCACAATAATTAAAGACGGATTGCCACTTGACTTAGGCCCGTATCGTCAGTCGTCCCTACAATATTGTAGGTCGCGTTTATGGCCTCCTTGATTGTCATACTCGTTTCTCTCCTTCAAAAATTTATAGATTACACTTGTCCCGTGTCAGCGTCAGCGATCTCCTATTGTGAAGATATGTTTTCTTTTTAAATTGTAGGAAATTTCAGGCTGATAAAACCTGATATAACTCAAAAGCAAGTACAATTTGATGTAAATGTTTGTGACATAACCTCAAAATAGAGCGCTGACACGGAGAAGTAGAAAACTATGACTATCAAGGAGGCCATAAAGGCGCCCTACAATTGTAGGGACGACTGACGATACGGGCCTTAGGCCTTAACAATAATTGTGATCCGAAATCACATAAATGACTCCCTATATCCATATAAAGTCATGTAACTTTGCATCACTCGTTCATGTTTGTTAGAAAAAAATCCAGAATTTTGAACTCGTTACAATACATACATTTTGTTCGAAAAAATCCAGAATTTTGAACTCAATTTTCTAAGACTTCGTGTTTTACACTTCACTGCCTTTTACCTAACTATGTACGGTAGTATAGTCTATTTATCCAAAAAGACATTAAACCAAAACAATCAGTTCAGAGCGTGATCTCACGTTAATATGTTTCAAGATACGGGAAACATAACTGTTATTGGGCAGAATCGGTCCATATACAGGACCAATGCCAAATCAGAAAGGTTGGATTCAGAACTTTAACACTCCGATCTTCTCACTTGCTTACTTTCTGTAGCCGGCCTTGGCTGAGCACTATTGGGTTACTCAACTGAGTTAATGGAAAGCAGTTCTTTGATCTCTTTTGCTGGTGCGACGTTACCTTTTCGCGTATTTTAAACATTTGAAGACACATTTTAACTTCTTTTCTATTTTCAGGTTTAGGAAAATATGGCGTATACTCGCTGTTTCCGGGTGGGCCAAGCTTCGGCAGCGCCCTGTATTCTCACGCTAGCATCGGACGTTTTAGCGGACAATTTCAGCAGTCTGCAGGAAACACCTTTCATGCGGCGCAAAAATGTAAGTTTGACGATTTTGCAATTAATAATGATCTGGTGTACGTATATTTTTCTCAACTTGCACTACGATCAATTCGTGATGCGCATACAAAGAACGCACCCAAATTTATGAATGAAGCTCTCTCGCCTTTTTCGTAAAATCAGTCAAATGTCAGGCCAGCAATACAGTATATTCAGATAAGAGATAGACCGGACATAAACAAGACCACGTGATCATAGAACGCTGTAACATTCGGCAGGGACGTATTAAGAGTCACGCAGTACATATTTTAGATAGTAGATGCTGCTTTGCGTAACTTTGTAGTAAATTAGCACAATTCGATGTGTATACGATTGGTGATGGATATAGGATCAAGTGGGGGTGGGGTAAGAACTATATAATGATGTAAATATACATAAGGGTTTCAAAATTTTCGCTTCGATTTCCAGCTTCGGATGCCGCCTTATGTTTGGTGAAATACAGTCGAATATAATCTCAAAATGGCGTTTAAATTAGCCTAAATTAAAAATAATCGTATATCTCTTAAAATTGCTTTTAGAATATTGATTAGTATATTTTTTGATTTCTACGTAAATATGTAACCAAATTAAAACGTTCAAAACGCAAAAAATGTGCATGGTTGAACATTGTCAGAAAGTAGATTCTTGAATAGGTTTTGCCAAAATGGGTTCAAAAATGTCAATAATTAATTAAAAAATACAGTAGCTTTATAATTACTTATAACTTACCGAATTTGATGAACGACATCTTTTATTGGAAAGATGAGCTTGATGAGCTTTCATCATCGCTACTGCCTGAAGCACCAACGTCAATAATGAATGGCTCGACTTGTTCCTCTAAAATATTGTCCAGTTCCCACATTCACTTTTCAACTTTGTCTTTCACGTGCTTAATACAGTTTTCCCATTTTTGCGCTGTTATTAATTCTAGTGCTTCTTTGAAAAGTCCTTTGAGGTCACAAAATTTAAAAGTTGTATTGTGCTTAGCTATATAATTTTTAACCTCTGCCCATATGAGCTCAATGGGATTGAGCTCGCACTGGTATGGAGGTAAACGGAGCACAGTTTTATTTTGACTTGCTGCCATTTCGTCAATGGCGTATTTTTGATATTCCGCCATGTGATCCTTGACAATTCTTAATAATTGTACTTTCAGCATTGCTTCTTCAAAGTTGATATTTTTCGAGCGGAGCCAATTTTGAACATCAACTTTCCTTGAAGCCGTTGTTGGGACCTTCTCCATTCTTCGAGAATGATAAGGCGCATTATCCAACACAATTACTGCGTTTTCCTCTAAGTTCGGTAAAATTTTTGAAAACCACTGTTCAAACGATTCGCCATTCATTTCCTCGTGGTAATCTCCAGTTTTCTTAGACTCAAAGCACCACAGACCGTCAACAACAAATCCATCCTCACTGCCAATATGGCAGATAATGAGCCTTTTCCCTTTACCTGGAAATCGAAGTACTAACTGGTGTAGATTTATTTCAATAAGCGAACCTTTTTCAAATGTTTTCATCACATTCAGCGAAAAAACATTGAGACATGAGTATCAGATTGCTATAATTGGGATTATTTAGTCATATTGAAAGAAAGAATATTGAACGTCGTATGATTACTCAGCGCTTCACAATTTAATTTAAAGTTATAAACCTTTAAAAAATGAATGATCAGGAACCTGAAATACGCGCAAATATTAATATTAACAAATTATAACTTTATAAAGCTTAAAGTATGAATTAAAATGATTAGAAATATTAGGAACGGTACACAATATAAAACTTTGTAACTTTTTTTAAGTTTATAATATTCGACATATTTTAAGATTATATTAAAAAATTATTGAAATATCGAAAACACATAAAAACATGGCTTAAAAAAGTTCTAACAAATGAAAATGACAATAAAACATCCACGCATTTTATCGAAAGTTATAAAAGTTTTGTTACTTGTAATATGTTTTATCTGCCCCCTGGAATTAATGTTTAGAACCTTGTTCCCAAGGTTTGAAAAACATCCGATTGTTGTCTATTACTCGTATTTACCTGCTGGATTTTTTAATCCGGTGGACAGTCCATCTAGAAAGGCCCTCCTGGATGAAGTTACAGAATCATCAACCCATACTTTACTTGTAGTGTGTCCTGCGTTTACCCACGTTTCATCAAGGTAATAAATCTTCCTGTTTTGATTTCTATATTTCCCAATTTTTGTTAAATAATCCCTCCTCCATAGCACAATTTCTTCTCTATCCAGTAGTAAACTATTACGACCCCGTTTTTTCCATTTGAAATTTAAATGCTTCAGTAACGCATGGAAAGTTGATCGTTTGAAATTTGGCAACGTTGTATCTCCATTTACCTCCTGCAGTACTTTATCTATAGTAGGTATTTCATTCCTAAAGAAGAATTCATGCACTTTCCTACTAATCGCATGCTTATCAGCTTCATCCAATGATTTAACAATACTTTTGCGATGTTTACTGGTCATTGGCTCAGAAAAGGTGTGATTTTTTTTGTATTGTCTTAACACATTAAACACTGATGCGCGACACACCCCAACTTTGTGAGAAACCTTCACAACAATTTCTTTTCTGCACTCAGGTGTCTTTTTTTAGAGCGTTTCCTAGGTGGACTACAGGAGTTTACAACTTCATCGACAGTATCTGTACTACTGGGCATTTTGCGCAAGCAGTTGATAACAATAACAATCAATAACAAGGTATAACAATAACAACGACAAACTCAACAACTTAATAAGATAACAAACGAAAACGTCCAAAGAAATATCAAATTGCAATGATCACACGACATACGTAACACGTCTGAACCTGAATGTGACTCTGCCTTGATACGACTGCTCTGCCGCTCGGCATAGGCATTTAATTGCGAATTGACCAATGAGGGCTCCTGTTTTACGTCCAGACCGCGGCGTTAGCGTGAAAATCACCCGAACCTTTTGTTTACATCCGGTCTATCTCTTATCTGAATATACTGTAGTAAGAAATGACCCAACGTTGCCACGCTTCATGCAAAGTCTTGGGCTTGAGTGCATTATCCTTTCGAGTACTGTCTCAGATTCCTAGTCACCGCTGGAGCAGAGCAATTTTAGATGCATATATACAGTGACAATAAAAGGTAAACACCTAGGTATGTTTATCCGATTTGGCATATTTATGTTCAATGCCCCATGCTAGTAAAATGATTAAATTTTCAGCTTGATTCTTTCTCTATACCAGAGCAAACGGTTACCCCGATGTTCAGCTGTAAGAGGTAGCACCCAAAGTGGGCGATAAGAAAAAAGGCCAATCTGTCGTATTCGTACATCGTATGCATACCAACCGTTCTTCCATGCTCTTCAAGGCACGTTTGTTTGGGTTTCCACCTGTGAATGTTAGATGATAGATAGATAGTAGCTTTATTATCCAACAGTGGCCCATTAACAGGACAATATTATACAAAATCCATACAAAAGATACAGAACAAACTTTATAACAAAACGAAAATATTTCATGTATATCCTTGATCTACGTATGTATTAGCTATCCTAACTAATTCTTTGTTAGAAGTACAGAATATGTCACAGAAGGTACAGATTCTATTGAAATTATTAAACATATTATTTAGTGGCTTCAGTGAAATATTTGTTCTTGCCCTTGTAGCTCTGAACGTGAAGTGAATACGCGACGCAAAAGTCGGTACACTGATGTTGATGTTTCCAAGAAGTGAGGGACTGTCAATTAGATTATTTAAAAGCTTAAACAAAAATATCAATGTCGCGTAAGTTCTACTCTGCTCCATAGATATAAGGTCAACACGACAGTATAACTCGGTATTGGTAACACCCCTTTCTGGGTAAATTCCATCAATTTTATAAACTAAGAACTTAGAAAACCTTCTCTGTACTTTCTCCAAACAACTCATAAAAGGGATTTCAAACTATGCAAGCATACTCTCCAGTTTAGACCTCACAAAAGCAAAATACAGTAGCTTATTGGTTCTTATGTTATGGAAATGTCTACAGTTTCTAACAACAAATCCATATAACTGTATAGAATGTGAAACTAATGCTTCAATATGTTTACCAAATGTCAACTTGTAATCAAAAATCACACCTAAATGCTTAATTTCGGTACAACGCTCCAAAGATAGCCCATTTAACAGGTAAATAAAGTGATAGGTAGTTTTCATCGTAGAATAACTCATAATTTTACATTTGGATACATTAAGAAATAACTTATTGGTATCACACCAGTGCTGGAGGATATCCAGCTGAGTCTGAAGGAAAGTGCAATCATTCAAATCTTTGATAACGGAACATATTTTCAAATTTGAACCTTGCGGAACACCGGATGAGGCTAAGTAAGTATCAGAACGAACATTAGTATAAGAAACAAATTGCTACCTCGAAGATAAATAAGATTCAAAAAGGTCCCTAGCATCACTAGAAAAACCAAATTTTATTAACTTTCCAAGCAATATACATCATGATTTATTCGATCGAATGCCTTCGAGAAGTCCGTGTAGATAACGTCAACTTGACTATTGTTGTCCAATGCCTACGAAATATATTGCGTTATGGTAACTAGATTTGTAGCAGTTGAACGGTTTTTAATAAATCCATGTTGATGTTGTGAGAGTTGATTATGCGCCGCACTATAAATACGATTGAAAAGTATTATATCAAAGACCTTCGAGAACATGCACAAAATGGAGATCGGACGATAATTTTTGTTGGACCTGTCTCCAGTTTTTAGCACAGGGGACACGTTGGCGACTTTTCAAAGTTTCGGAAACTTCTACGACCGACTACACAAATTAAAGAATTTTGTTAAAACACAGAATGCTCCGGTACAATCCTTGATCAAAAAGGATGGAATATTATCGGGGCCTGAAGTCATTTTGTCCTTGAGTTTCTTAATAGCAATCATAAATTTCATCAAAATGTACATGAGCAACATTGTTGAAACTATCGTCCACATTACCCAAATTAGCTGCTATGTAG